CAGGTGCCGCATTCCCCAGGTCAAGCCACTTTTGAACCAGAAACAGCAGCAGAAGCGCCTGACCTGGGCTACAGAGAAGCAGCACTGGACTGTTACTCAGTGGTCCAAAGTACTTTTTTCTGATGAAAGCAAATTTTGCATGTCATTCGGAAATCAAGTTGCCAGAGTCTGGAGGAAGACTGGGCAGAGGGAAATGCCAAAATGCCTGAAGTCCAGTGTCAAGTACCCACAGTCAGTGATGGTCTGGGGTGTATTTATCAAGGGCTGGGTCAATGCAGCTAGGCATTGACCCAGCCCTGCCACTGGGCGATGGTGGCACAGGAGTTAAGTGCTCGCCCCATAATCGTAAGTTTGCAGGTTCGAGCCCCACTCAGTCTGTCGCTGTCATTATGTCCTTGGGCAAGACACTTAACCCACGTTGCCTGCTGGTGGTGGTCGGAGGGACCGGTGGCGCCAGTGCTCGGCAGCCTCGCCTCTGTCAGTGCGCCCCAGGGCAGCTGTGGCTACATCGTAGCTCATCACCACCAGTGTATGAATGTGTGTGTGAATGGGTGAATGACTGATTGTGTTGTAAAGCGCCTTGGGGGGTTCCAGGACTCTAGAAGGTGCTATATCAAATACAGGCCATTTACCATTTAGCTATCAGGAGATTTTGGAGCACTTCATGCTTCCATCTGCTGAAAAGCTTTATGGAGATGAAGATTTCATTTTTCAGCACAACCTGGCACCTGCTCACAGTGCCAAAACCACAGGTAAATGGTTTACTGACCATGGTATTACTGTGCTCAATTGGCCTGCCAACTCTCCTGACCTGAACCCCGTAGAGAATCTGTGGGATGTTGTGAAGAGAAAGTTAAGAGATGCAAGATCCAACATTCTGGATGAGCTTAAGGCCGCTATCGAAGCATCCTAGACCTCCATAACACCTCAGCAGTGCCACAGGCTGATTAAGGATTCCCGACCGTATTGAGTGCATAACTGAACGTAATTATTTGAAGGTTGACTTTGTTTTGTGTTGAAAACACTTTTCTTTTATTGGTCGGATTAAATATGCTAATTTTTTGAGAATGGAATTTTTGGTTTTCATGAGCTGTATGCCAAAATCATCAATATTAGAAACAATAAAAGGCTTGAACTACTTCACTTGTGTGTAATGAATCTAATATATCTGAAAGTCTAATGTTTATCAGTACATTACAGACAATAATGAACTTTATCACAATATGCTAATTTTTTGAGAAGGATCTGTATATTTTGGTGGCGCCACTTTGAAAATGTTACTGTGGCCGTGTGCAAGACGTAGATGCCGGTGGAGTGCATGAGCTCTCTGCCTCTGTTCATCTTCTGCACTAAAAAGAATCCTCAATGCTGAGAGTACATAATATGGGTAGAAACTTGATCTTTTTTTGGGCTCAGTAAATGATGGTTTAGCACTATTGTCCAGGGGGAAATATGGAGAAATTTGGAGAATGGTGGCTCCGGGTTGGCAAGATGGTTAAATTAATTGCATCATTTACTTTTAACGTGTTAAAATAGCAAAATTAATGCTTAGAATTTATGTGCTAATATTCCCAGTCCTAATATATATATATATATATATATATATATATATATATATATCAGAAAAAAAGTACCATGAACTAGTTCATTTTTGGTACAGTGAACTTAGTTCAATTTTTTGAATTATGAACTAAGAAACAAACTAGTTTGTTGTAAAATGTATGAACTGAACTTTGAACTAGTTCGTGTTTTGAATGAACTTTCCCAACACTGACAGCCGGACCAATGAAGAGACAGAGGGGCACAGGCAGGGCCGTCCCCAGCAGCCAATCATCAGTTCACACTGGCACAGCAGCATTTGTTTTCCAGAGGATGGGTGCTTCTTTCTTGCTAATGTCAAAGGCCATAACAATGAAAAGTGTTTTTTTTTTTCTTTATTTTTTTAAAGAGCAAGTTCACTGAGAAACAGTTTTTTACTTGATATTTTTGAAACACTATCGGTTACTCTGAGTGTCACATACAGGCTGAATATTAAACTAGTCTTTTACCCGTATTTCTTGCATTATCCGCCGATAGAAAATACATGGGGAAACACAAAAAGCCACACAGATTTGATTCAAACTGAAAATTAGCATCATGGACTTACCTACCTTGGCTTGCAACGGGAAAAGCTTGTGTTGATTTAGCGTCCAGGAGAGAGTAGAGCATTTCTCACCTAGTAGACGCTAACCATTAGCATTAGCAGCTCCACAACCCAGCAGAACTCATTCAGGCCTGCATTTTTTGTGGACACAAAACATCAATGCTGGAAAGTGAACAAAGGCAATGGAAGAGTCAAGTTGCTGTTAGCCAATCAGAGGCGAGATGCTCAAATATCAGGAAATAATAATAAGACTCCAAATGCTGCTGTTTTCCACTCCCCACTCTGACTAACTTCTACTTCCTGAAACAAGAGCGCCAGAGCTTTTATTCCACAGAGAACACTTCACAAAGCATCCATTTATGCTAGAAACCACAGGAAATGTATTGAACAAACGACTGAATGAGAGTTTTAATGGAATGAATGAAGATAAGATGTGCTGCAGCGATGAAACATTTCCTTTACTTGGATTTGAAGTTTCTACTTCTCCACAAAATAAATAGAGCATGGTTGCTTTCTAATAAAACTAAACATCAAAGAAGAACAAGTTAAAAATAAGTAGTACAGCTTTACTTTTCTACCTTCTTTAGGTTGTATTTCCTGTCATTTTCCCTGTCCTAGTTTTTCTGGGCAAACTGGAATGTTAGAACTTTGAGTGGAGCGACAAACCAGCTGCTTACTCCATCAAGGCTGGATCCACTTTTCTGCCTCTTCTCCATTCAGTTTTTTGTATCCATTATCACCCTCTTCACTGCAACTTCTCTGTAATTACAGCCAAGCAATCCCATCACTATCTTTCTCATCGCTCTCCCCCATTCTTTCTGTTTTTCCCTGCCAGAGTTTGTCCTCCCATGTGGGTTAATTATGATGTGTGTGGAGGGCAGGGGCCGGTTTGTTTCCAGGGACGTTGTAATGTGACAGAGATGTGTCCCTCCGCACCCTGATGGACACATGAAGCTTTAGCTACGCCCGTGGCATTAACTGTACTGCCTTTAATGATGAAGACAGCTTGTGTGGTCTTCTGGTTAGCTCAGAAACTCCCCTCCCTGGAGGACAAATCAGCCTGACTAATATCAACTTTGGAGAGGGAGAGTCGATCACTAAAGCGTGTAAAAGCTGATACAAAATATAAAAAAAAAAAACTAACTAGCTTGTCTTCGAAGGGTGTTGAACATTTCTTTATGTGTGTGTGAATGCTTAGAGCTATGCGGCGTTGTTTTGGGTGTACTGTCATGCTTCTCTAATTAATACCACGGAATGGGCTTATTCTGTAGCATGTTTGCCTTTGTGATGGCTGAGCTCTCCTCCAACGAAACTTTGTGGCTTTCAAATATAATCCATGCAGAATGCTGACCAAAGCTGAAGGGGGGCAACCTGCTGTTTGACTGTATGCTGCAAGCTGCGGCTTCTTGCCACAGTTGGTGTTACATCTTTCTTGCTTTTCCTGCTGCAGCAATGCTATGCATCTCCAAAACTTTTGCAATTCTATATTTTGCACCGACGCCGTTCCTGTAATAGGAAAAGGTGTCCTTGTGTAAACCCTCAAGGACAACAGCAGCTACACAAAAGCCATTGTCAACTGTACAGTTTTGTGTAACCGGGCATACTATAGCAGCAGCAACAATACATGGAAAATTCATGGCATTATCAATAATAAGAAAGGCTTGTGCAGAGGTATAAAAGGCTAAATTTGTTAATTTATTCTGATTTTTTTTGTTGAACATAAACAAGGATATCCTCCGTAAAAGCCTCTCTGCCTATCCCATGAATGTTTCAAGACCACTGCGTGTTTTCCTCAAGGAGGTGAACTTGACCCATTTTTTTAAATCCTGAGTGGATTAAGAGGCTGTGGCGTGAGATGAGAGGTGAAAGTACTATGAGGTGAGAGGAAGTTTGAACCATATGCATAGGGTGGGAAAATCTCATCCCTTGTTGCATATGTGTGTGCGTAGGGAATAGATGGCAGACACCAATCTTCTGCTCTGAGTCCTTGTACCCCCACCCCCAGGCAGTGACAGATTGTAGGCTGTAACAGAAAGGAGAAATGGTTTAGAGGGAAGAAGCTTGAGAGACAGGGTGAGCGATTTAGTGAGTGTTATCACAAGAGGGGAGAAATGTCTGACCTCCCGCTGTGTGTAAGATTGTCTTATATTGATGACTTCATCTCCGAGTCTTCTCAGGTGTTTATCTCCTCTTATCCCACATGTTTCAAATATAAATCTATTTTATTTTTCATTGACATTCATGTTGCCAAATAAGCTTTTCAATTTTCTTTGTCGCGTAAAAAAAAAGACACGCTAACGTCTTGAGTGAGCTGAACCTCTTTTCATTGGCCTCGGTGCATTTATTAGCCTCGACCCTTCTGTTTTCTCAATACTAGAAAGTTTTTTCTTCTTTGATAGATGATCCTTTCACCGAATCTAAGTTTCTCCCTCAATCACAAACTCCAGTTGCCAGACAGAGAGAAGTGAGGGAGGAAAATAAGTGAGTGGTTGACCCCTGTGTGTACAGGAGAGTCAGTGAGTGAAGCTCCCAGGCGATACACTCTGCGTGATGAACTCCGAGGCCTACACGTGTAATTGTCTTCCACACATGAGGCCGTATGAAAAACATCCAGAGGGGGTCTCTTTGACGAGCCCCTCTGGATGCATCAAACCAGAAAACTGTGACAGTATTGATTTTTTTCATTTGCATAATGTCTCTGCAGGACCACCACCTCAGTAGATACGTTTAAAGAGACACCGCTCATGAATATAGAACCAGAACAAAAGCTGTCACAGAGTCGTGTTCTTTGGATTATTCTGGGTTGTTACACATATCATTACCTTTACCTTTTATCTCTGCTTCTTTTTTCTTTCAGAGTCGACCGTGTTCTTCCCCGAGCAGATCCATACAGTGGAGGAAGATGTTGGGGAGCTCTTCATCCCCGTGCACCGCAGTGGAGACATAAGCAAGGAACTCATGGTGGTCTGCTACACACAGCAGGGTATGAATCTGCTGTTGATTATCCTCCTGCTGCCTCATTGGCCAGAATGATCAAGCCAGATGGTGAAAGTCATTATATTAGGCCTGATGAATTGTATTCAAAGCTGACTTGATGATGACAAAAATGATGCTGTTTAGGAACGTTTGATTTTCTCTACATTTGTTTTGTTGGTGCTTTTGTTCAATCTCTCATGCAGAACACAATCAAAGAGGTGAACCATTTCATGGAAACCTTAGCTAAAATAAAAATTTCTGTTTACTCTAAATACAAAAAAAAAAGCATTTTTGTAAACTTGATGTCCTTAAAGTGGCTGTGTGTACTTTTACCTTTAATCTCTGGAAATATCGATTGAAATGTTGTTGAAAATGAATATAAAGATGTCCAGTTGTTGGAAAATATTGGTGAATTTGTACCATATAACCATAAAAATTGGGTCTAGCGTCTTTGGGGACGCCATATTAGTCTCAACGTTTTGCTAGATGATTGGCTGGACGTACGACTTACAGAAGTTACGTTATCACGTTCAAAAACATTTTTGCAGTAAGAAACATGAATCTAATAACTTCTGAACTCTTTCCAAAACAAGTGAAAGAACAGAATAAAAAAAAGAGATTCAATATATTTTGGCCGAGCAGTATTGCCGTAGTATGATGACATTATGGGTGTTTCTCAATGCAAAGGAAGCTCGCCTTGATGTCTTGGCCCCGCCCTGGTTGCCTAGGAGATACATCATCAGGAGCCGCCAAGACGTGTTCCAATGTTCATGTTCTACCGAGGCATCTGTTCTCCGTTTGTTAGTCGTTTAGCTAGCTGAGCAAGGATACACGAGAGGTGTTTTGTAGCCTAGCCTTGGTCAAAAATTACCCAGAATACACCGCGGTATTTTCAAAAGGAAGGTGGATCAGAAGCCGGCAGCTACTTCAGGGGTAAATTTCAAGTTTAAAAGTAAGTCAACTAATTTAAAATGTGTTTTTTTTAGATCCAAAGAAGTTATCTATGATTGGTTAGTTGCATATTAGTTGCAACTTCAGTGGCTAGCAGGTAGTAGCTCGCTTATATATTTAATTTAACAAATATATATACAATTTAAAAAGTAAAAGTCTCATTATATATTTATATTGAAACTAATACATACAAAATATAACGTTATCTCCCGTGTGACGTGACGTAACGTGAGTGCCGTGGAAACCACGGTCAATTGATGCAAGTCTGTTCCATTTAACCGTTTTCTTTGACCAAGGAAGGACAGTGTCCTCGTAAGTAAGGCGTCTGACCTCGCAATACATCGCCTCACAAGGCCAGGCGCCTTGACATTGAGAAACACCCTATCAGTAGGCGCAGGACCCCAAGCAGATCTGGAAATTATAGCATAATATATGGCAAAGCATTCTCTCGATGGAATTAACCGAAGGACCATAAAAGTCTGAGGAGTCACACAAGTAACAACATTTACTGTAATGTTTTTTTTTAAACTAGCGACAGTCACAGCGATATGGTGTAAACCTACCCTAAACGTATGAATGTACTACCCCCCTAGTGGCAGGAAACTACACACTGCCATTTTAAAATAACAAGCAGTTTTCTGCTCTTCCACCCTTGTGGTTGAAATTGGAACTGTCGTAAACAACCTTGGTGCAGCCTGCTGTAGCTAGCGCTGGTTAGGACGTCTCCCTGGTGAGGTTTGTCAGACACATCCAACTGGGAGGAGACTCAAAGGAAGACCCAGAACACGTTGGAGGGACTGTCTTGTCTGCCCAGGAAACGTCTTATGATTTCCTGGGATGAGCTAGCCCAAGTGGCTGGAGAGTGGGAAGTCTGGGCCTCTGCTTAGGCTGCTGCCTATTTAGGACAGCTGTGGCTAAATTGTAGCTCATCATCACAGTGTGAATGTGTGTGTGCATGGGTGAATGGCTGGTTGTCTTGTAAATCACCTTGGGGGGTTGTAGAACCTCATTGCTCCCCATTATGTTCCCACTTTTTTTCTCTTTGTTACAATCGGCCCTGGTCACTCTTTTTGATGCTTCTGACAGTTTTCATCGTGTTAGGAAAAAGCCTCTTTCTCCAACCTTAACATCACCATCAGTGACATTTTGTTTTCCAAAATGTACCCAACTAATTTGAATGGTTAATATTATTTTTGTTTTAGTTCCACATTAACCGCTTTTCTCCAGAATGTCTCATTTGGATCCAGTTTTTACATTTTAGCAGCTTTTTAACATGGCAAAGGAGGAGTAGCAGTAGCAGGAGGCGAATTTTTTGTATGTTTAAAACTCGATAATCAAAGAAGAGATTTAAAACGTTTAACTGATGTAAATAGTCTCACATTAAAGCTCTGAAATTTAGTCCGAATTTTAGTTTATGAAATTAATGGCAGTTGGGGTAAATATTGCTGAAGTTGAACATACAGAGTTAAAGTTTTATCGCATTTAAGAAAAAAAAAGAATACACTTTTAATTCTCAAACCTGTCTTTGTCCTCTAAAGGTTCTGCCACGGGTACAGTCCCCTCCATGGTTTTGTCCTACTCAGACTACATTTCCCGTCCGGAAGGGCACAACAGCGTCCTTCGCTTCGACAAAGGAGAGAGGGAGAAGCTGTGTCGAGTGATGATCATCGATGACTCTCTGTTTGAGGGGGAGGAGAGCTTCAATGTGACTTTGTCCCTCCCCGTTGGGGGACGACTGGGAATGCACTACCCCACTGCAAAAGTCAACATCTTGGAAGACAAAGAGGATGGTAAGTGTCTCGGATATGGTTTGTTCTGTGCCTCTAAATGAATGAGTGCCGTTGGAGAAAACTTTAAACACAAATTATATTTAAATACATTTTGAGTCAAATCAAGCCCCACAAACTCAGCTGAAATTTGCAGGAGTGCTGGGAAGAACCCGGCTGAACAAGTTTTTGACAGTTTTTAATTACAGTTCATAATCACACGGGACAGCAGTCGGATCTTGTTATCTACCGTGATCGGTTCCCGCCTGTTTTCATCCAGTTCTAGCGTCCCATTGACTAAAGAGATTTCTCATTCTGAAAGGCAAACATAAATGCGGATTTATCTAGAGATTAACTCACCTTCTGGGAGAATCCCTTTTCCCATCTACAGGTGTGTCTGCATCGATTCATTTCACAGACCTAACACAGACAGATGGATGCGTCTACCACAGGTTTTGCTAAATGCCACACTATAGATTGTCACAGTAAAATTGAATTGTTTTCAGCTTTGCGCTATACAGTAAAGCTTGGGGTTTAAAGAAAGTGCAACTTCCATGAGTTATTAGATTTTATACCTGAACAAAATAGTTCAAAAGAATAATGATCTGGTGTTTTTCATACCTTGAAATTAACTAGAAGCTAGGCCGTTTCTTAATTAAATAAATAAAAAGTACTTCAAACAACAATAGAACAAAGTTTATACCTATTTTTTTTAAATTGCAAACAAAAACAAACAAAAAACACTTTCCTCAAAAAGTGCTATTTGTCCATTCAAGTCTGAAAGCACATCATATTTTTTAATAGAATGGGGTCACTTTAATGACCCTGGCCAATTAGGAGAGATCTTTCATCTCCCTCAACAAGGCCCGCCCACAAAACTAGTTTTTATCTCAAACATAAACAAACAAATTAAATAGTTTTGAGGGCAAAACATTTCCTGTTTTCAAAATAAAATACTTTTTCCACTAAAACTACATTTCTGGATTTTTTAAATATTATTTAATTTGTTTTGGAAAACTATTTTTGTTTGTAGGTTTAAAAGGCTTTTTTAAATTGATTAATACAAAAAACTAAAACAATATAATCTCCATAAATAACACCTTAGATAAAAAATCATGTAATATAAAACAAATAAGTGAAAATTTGTGTAAAAGAACAAACAGTGGGTTTATCAATTTTCTATACAGCATTATCAAGATCTAAAATGATTTTGGTGGAAATTCTTCCGTTTGTATGAAACTTTGATACTCATCTTTACACAGCTGATCTAATCAGAATTATTGTTATTTGTCATTTGTTGTCGGTTTTATTTTCTTTTATTTTTTATTGACTTAATTTTGGTGTTCTTTCTCTGTTTTATCATGCTGTGTTCCTTCTTGTCTTACTGTAAGCTAACCTTGAGTGCCATGAAAGGTGCCTATAATGAATTATTATTATTATTATTATTGTTGTTGTTATTATTATTATTATTATTATTATATTATTTTTTCTTCTTTTTTTTTTTGTATATTTGTATGCTTTCACTGAAGTGCCAGAATCAATCCATGCTCTAAGGCAGTTTCAGGGTTAGTTTATGGAAAGCATCCTTCTGATGATGTGGGTACTTCCGAGAAGAACAATCTTCTGGATTTCTTGGACAGTTGGGTTTCCAGGAATCTGTTTTGTTCTCTTTTCCAGTCCCTTCTTGATGAGGCCAAGTCAAGTGCACCCACTACGACGGGTATTGTTGTTGTCTTCATCCCCCACATTCTTGTGACTTCTATTTCCAGGTCCTTGTACTTTGATAGCTTTTCAAGCTCCTTGGTGGTGACATTTTTTTCAGATGGGATGGTCATATCAATCATGAGGCAGGTCTTCTCTTCTTTGTTTTTGATGATTATGTCTGGTCTGTTGGCCGTTATTATTATTATTATTATCATCATTATTATTATTAAATCTGGCCTTGTGTTCCAGCTTTTGGACAGACAGCCTCATGGTGTACTCTAGAGTTCTCTGGTTCATGATCTTCTCAATAACTATAAGATACCCGGGTCCCTCCCATGGCTGCAGAATAAGTCCAAATTGAGTTCCAAAAGAAGATCCATGAATAAACACACCTATAGAGTGAGTGGCCCACTTATGGTCCACTGAATGTTAATGACTTGTTTTCACTGGTTGTGGTGTTCTTGATGTATAAAACACAACTGTGGTTTCTATTTTGGTTTCCTCCAGAAGTAACTGTCCTCATTACTTGTCATATTCTGTAGCAGGAAAGAAGTGCATTCCTTTAGCTGTCACATAAGGTAAAAAACCTATACAGGAGAGCAAAGACGTTGTGGCAGAGACAGGCGAAGAGATCCATCTAAAGCCTTTGTTTGCCTCCCTGTTTCTAAAATACTTGTGATGCTGTAGAAAATGCAGAGAAAAAAAACAAAACTGAAAAAAATCCCATAATCCCTGGGTTTAGCTGAAATGGAGCAAAGAAGAGCCCAAGTTGAAACTAAAATAACCGTATTGTTTCCGGTGAAATTTAGATGCTCGTTTTTTTAAACAAGGACTGGCGTCTTTGTTGTGTTTTTACTTTATAATGAGACAAATATTTTGAATAGGTGACAGGTCTGGCCTTTAGGCAGCTTTACTGCAGAGTCATGCTGTCGTAAATAAGAGGCATAGTGGGGCTTGGCATTGTCTCCTGGAAATAAACAAGAACTTTTCTGGCAGTTAATGTTGCTCTAAAACCTGTTTAAATGATTCAGCATCATCAGTGCCCTCACAGATATCTGTGCCAACTTCAGTGATTTTCTGTTTTCAGATTTTTTTAATTCCCTGACTTTGCTGCATCGTTAGTTGTAAATAAATGCTCCTAATCTTTTAATATTGGTCCACAACCTGCTGCTTGATCGTCTTAAGTTTTAAAATATTAATCACAACCATTTGAAACTAAGTGGATGCAGTTTGTGCATCTTTCTTATCTGTCTTGCAGCATTTCTGAAAGAAAAATTACTACTAAATAAGTATCGACATACTGCTTCTGCTACACTGTAAAAACAGATTTTCAAGAAAATAAAAAAATTGTTTTTACACATTTTATTATATTTTTGGCAAAGAAATCTGCAAAGCAGAACTATTTGACATTAGGTAAATATTCTGTTAGATATTCTTTGCTAGTTTAACTCATTCATATTTAAGAATATTAACCTGAATTCAATGTGTACTGTTTTTGGAGATAAGAATTTAAAAAATATTTTAGACAAAAATATAAATAAAAACATCTAAAAGTAAGTTTCTTTTACTTGCTTTAACCCTCCCACTGTCCTAACGGGTGTGACCCCATGAGGAAAGTTGACCATTGAGCAGGGTTGATGGTTTATCCCTTGAGGTCCAAGTGGCAGGGGTGAGGAGTGAGCACCACCTCACCCCTGCCACGTGGACCTCAAGGGATAAACCATCAACCCTGCTCAATGGTCAACTTTCCTCATGGGGTCACACCCGTTAGGACAGTGGGAGGGTCAAAATGAAAATTTGCAGTGTACACTCTAAAACATGAAATGTTGAATTTTATTTTATTTTTACATTTATCCTAAATAAGTTGGTTCTACTAAACCTAGTTCCTTAAATGTAAAGACTAATATATGTTTACTTTTAACATAAAAACCTATAATAATGTGTATTACTCTTTACATTTAAGCAAATAGAACCGGTTGACATAACTTGGTTAAGTAAATTATGTGTTTAATTTTTTACAGTGTAACTCATCAGCAGTATGTAGTTTTCAAACTAAAGCTTTTTCATGGGGTTGCATATTTATAATTAGCAATATTTCTTTAGACACACTTGCAAATTACCAAACTATTTTTTAAAGGAATACTAGGCCGTTTTGACTTGCGTTTAGCACTCCCTAGTGTTCGTCAGTCAAAGCACAAGTGAAACTTATCACCTTGTTGTGCGTTTGTCTTTTAAACACCTTAATCTAAATGCTGTAATGTCTCCTCAGCCTTCATTAGTTTCTACAGAAGCAATTTATCACTAAAGCTCATAAATCAGTTGTGTTCGTGATCTAAAACATGCAGAAAATATGCTGGACACCTGAGTATGTCAGCTCCACTTTAATAAATCTGCCACGCTGAAGTTGCAAGTGCAGTATTCTGCCCAAGGGGACGTTGGGGGTCTGAATGACATTTAATTAACCTTGTAAAGGGTTGTTTTAGCACATAGTGGCTCAAGAAAATTATTTAAAAATCTGAAAAAGTTATAAAGTATCCCTTTAAAACAATAAAACCAAATGTGCAAATCCCATTCCTCTATTAAGTGGGTTTTCATGAAGTTTCTAAACTAGTGACAGAAGACGGATCATTCCATTCGCAGACTGGGATTAAAAAGACAATTACAGCTTACTGCTGAGAGCTCATTTACAGATATTAGTAATTGTCCCTCACTGACTATTTGTGTGGAGACATTTGGACGCTAGTTAGCAAGAATCCACTCTGATTGTTCGTAAACTGTCAGTTTTGGTGCTCGGTTCAAAGGAATGCAGAAGTGTTTGTGAACGCTCAACTCCTGTGAGAGATGTCATTTTTAGTCTCCCAGAGGACAACACGTCTGACAGTGCTCTGAAACCGACATCCAGGCAGTTAAACTACAACCTCTTCTTGTTAATAACAGCCTCAATTTGCCAAAGAAAATATTGAAACAAATGGTTTAACAGCATGTGTTTATTTGTATCTGCATGCCTGTTAATGTGGCTTTATCTGCCCACAGTAAGATAAATTTAGACTTTAAACTCTGCATCAAAAGTAAATGGTGTGAAAAGCATGTAAAAAGCTCTGAAGTGTAACCCCTGGGGCTTTCCGAGACTCGTTTTTTCTTCCCTGAGGTCAGAGTCAAGTAGAGTATGTCGTTCTTCCATCTACTGCTCCTGTACTGCCAGCTTCTTTCCCCTCTTTCACACATGCACTTCTCACACCTCAGCTGGAAAGAAAAAATCAAGCATGGCTGTCTAAAATGTAGTATCACATAAATCTCAACAGTACTTGTCTTCTCAGTGG